CACATCGAATTTGGTGTATCACTATTCATTTACAACAAATTTTACACCAACGGGAATAGAAAAAAAAAATATATACCTATGATCTTATACTTTCGTTCAAGATTTTGTATTATCCGTTCTAGTAGATTTATTATATGCGCTGAATTTCATACCACATTTACGGATTTGGTGTAAGTTTCGGTATTATCCATTGGATATGCAGTAAGTTTATATTATTTTTAATGGCAATACAACTCGCAACGTAAACATTATAATTCGGCAATATCTTTCATATCATGACAAAAAATTTCAACATAATCATTCAGTAATTGACTTTTGCATATACGCTAACACATCATACTGTATAAAATTTCAGTACAGTTGACCTTAGATTCACTAAACTGGTTTCTTTTCTGTACATTTCGGTTTTTTATATTATCGTTTTTTTGTTTTATTTCAAAATATATTATAACTGTATTTGACCAAAAAACAAAATACTTGAAAGACAAGTCAGAAACTATTAACACAAAATAAAATCAAAAGAAATCTTTCTTTTTGTCTTTATGTTTGAATTATTTGTTAACACTATTCAATTTGAGGTACCCGCATTGAAATTGTTATTAATTATTGTACAAAATATAATCATTAGGTTTAGTGTATGTTTAAGAAGTAAAACATGCGATTTAAATAAGGAATTATTTTGAAATATAATATTTTAAAACTTTATTTAAATATTTTGTTGCCACTATACCAAAATATAATATCCCAGTGGACTTATTAGTTGTCATTTCCTTAATTATATCGAAATTATAATAATTTAACATGTAATTAATTAGCAAATATTTTATCCTATTAACTTTATTATTAAGTGTTATTCTAGATTTTATTCAATCATAGAACAATTTTTTATCTGTAAAATAGTAGAATAGAGTTGTTAAAAAGCTGACATGCATATTTTATTCTTCTTTCTATTGATATATTGTTTGAAGTTCGATTGTAAATTTCAGTTGTTTAATTCGATTGTAATTGTCTTTTTTTATTTTTGTGTTTTGATTTATAGAATCATATAATCCTCATAATTTTTATTTTCCATTTAATGAAATTGATTACCTAAAATAACCCTCGATCATGTTTTAAAATTCTTATATTTCTTAAAAAGCGATTAGATAGTATTTCTACTGGTTTTAAAGCATCAGTTGTGGTGCACTGGTTTAGCCTTATGGGGGATGTAGTGGAAAATCTCATATACTTGATATACGAATCCAGACGCTACCAAAACATTTATAGCTATCAAGACTCTTAATAACTCTTAAAACTCTTAAACCAGTTCATTCCTAAACGATTTCATCCCTAAACGATTTCATCCCTATCCGATTTCATCCCATATCTGAATTCGTGTAACTAACTGCAGATAAACACAATCAAATACAGGATAAACATCTCATTTTAAATATAAAAAGTCTAAAATTTAATTAGTATAATCATTAAATTCTAACAGAATACTTAATTATTATCTTTATAAAATTTATAATATTAAATCAAAAATAAATTATTTTATTATTAATTAAATTAAATTTATATATATATTATAAATCATTTGACAAAAACTCTTAAAAACCACTTTTTATGCGTAAAGTACTGTTTATTAATGCATATTACTTAAAACTCAAGATTACAAGTAGATTGTGCGTATGTACAACTTATTAAAGCTTAATATCTGAATTCATGTAACTAACTGCAGATAAACACAATCAAATACAGGATAAACATCTCATTTTAAATATAAAAAATCTAAAATATAATTAAGATAATCATTGAGTTCTAACAGAATACTTAATTGTTAGGTTTAAATGAGAAGCTCTAAGATTTAAAAAGTTGAACTCAACACCTATTATAAAATTTCTATTTTCATATTTTTTTATTAATTAAGATAATTATGAAAATATAAAATATCATAATTCATTTCTTTTTTTTACTATTACGTTTCTTTTATAGCAACAGTCATCAATCTTTTATCTAATTTTTTACCATAAATTCATTGACGATTTTACAATCTACAAATCAAATCAAATCTTATATATGGACATGAACAACAATGTTTTTTATTGATTCATATGTGAACATGCTAACATAGGTTCACATGTGATCTTACATAACTTGTATGTGAATCAATTTAAAATTTATGACCAAGATTCTCTATCAGTTTAAAATTCATGTGTGAACACATAAATCATAACATAAATTCACATATGGATCGTAATTATAATTCGTACAAACCACAAGGGTGGTGTCTGATTGGTTTGAGCTTGATTCCAAAAGTCAAAAGTGTCTGGAGGTCTCAGGTTCAAATCCAAGAAGAAACAAAAATCCCCTTGTAGCCACGGAGGTTCAAATGCGCCGACTCCGGGCTACCTGCAAAGCAGGTGGTCGTCCTGGGATTAGTCGACCTGCATAGCGGGTTGTATATCCAGGTTAATAAAAAGAAGTTATAATTCGTACATGAGTCAATTTATAACTTATAAGTGAAATTTTGTAAATAAATTTAAGATATATATATATATATATATATATATATATGTAAATCTTAATATATATATATATAAAGATATATATACTATATTATAAAGCATTTGACAAAAACTCTTAAAAAYMATYTTTTATGCATAAATTACTGCTTATTAATGCATGTTAGTTAAAACTCAAGATTACAAGTAGATTGTGCRTAWGTACAACTTATTAAAGYTTMATATCTGAATTYATRTAACTAACTGCAGATAAACAYAATCAAATACARGATAAACATCTYATTTTAAATATAAAAAATCTAAAATACAATTAGGATTATCATTAAGTTCTAACATAATACTTAACTATTATCTTTATAAAATGTTATATCATTAAACCAAAAATAAATTATTTCATTATTAAACTTAAATTTAATTATAATAAAAAAAGAAATTACATAAAAATGATAATTTTTACATAGTTGATTTAATATTAATAACGATATATTTTTTTCAAATTTTTATGATATCTTCAAATTTATATTTTATTTAAAAATAAAATCATTATTGTTTTATTAAAAACACATAAAATCGTATTATAATATAGATAGAGACAAAGAATAAAATAGAACATTAAAATCGAGATGTATCTAATTGCATTGCACGAGTACCCTTCTAATATATATATATATATATATATATATGTATATGTATCATGAATCTTAAGTTAAATGTAATGGAATTCTGGTTTTTTTGGGGTATAATCTATTTAAATAAAATATTAATTATACCTTAGATAATTTAATTTAAAAGAAATCGGGTAATCTAATTATTATTTTAAAAAAAGTGGGTAAATGTTTTTGAAAAATGAGTGGATTATTGAAATAATGGTTTGGATTAGCGACTTAATTACATAAAAGTTTTAAAACATCTCCCTCAACTTTTTTAGGTTCTATAAATTAGTCAAAAAAGAAATATATTTACATATTTTCTATTATGATTTTGACCAATGAAAAATCTCATCTAATGATTGAGATTTTCTTCTCGATTCTTTGATTGTTTCATAATATAAAGTGTTGATTATAATTAATGAACTCTAATCATCTTTTATTATTCAAATGATAATAAATAAACACTCATTTTTTTCATAAATCTCTCAATTGATTGGTTTGCAAAAATTACACGAGTTGTATTTAAAACCTCTTCCTCCTCCCTTTCTCTCCCTCAGTCTCAACCATCCATTTAATCATAAAAGTTTTGATTGTTTTCTAATATAAAGTATTGATCATAATTAACATTCAAATCATAATAAATGAACTATCATCATATCCATAAATATCTCAATTGATTGAGTTGCATTGGTTATACAAATATGATTGATTGCATTTGAAACGTCCTCTCTCTTTATATATGGATATATGTATAATGTTATTTATTTTTACTTTTGAAGGCACAAAGAACAAAGAAATAATTTCAAATGAACTCTCTAATATATTTTTCCAATTTACTCTATAACTTATATCAGCACCAAATATTTATATTTGTATTATTAAAGACATGATTTAACCAAAAGGAGGTTTAAGTCTTAAGGCGATGTAAATATAAGTTAGTTTATTAAAAAAATTATTTAATTAATATAAGCTATATTTTTAAATTATATTTGACAAGTTAACTTATGTGCATCTAAACGTGTACTCAGAAAATAAACTTACTTTAAGTAACGTTTCAATAAACTAGCTTATATACTCAGAAAATAAGCTAGCTTATTTTTTTCAGGCAATGCCTTAAAAGATTATGTAAGGTTACATCTCCAAGTTCATTAAAACCCTACTTTCTTTACGGTTAATTTTTTTATACATCTTTTTAAGTTATTTTATATTATCATCTATTTTGAATATAATTAATTTATTAACTAACAGTTAATTTATTAACAAATAATTTGTTTACAAACTATTAATTTTCAATTTATCTTAAAAAGAGAACCCCACCCTAAAAAAGGAGAAAGTAAGAGGATTTTTATCTTAAAGATAAAGGGTTTTTCATTCTTCCTATTAATAAAAATATTTGAAATTATATAATTAAAAAAGAGAAATAATATTTTAATAATATAATTCATATTCTAGTTTTTACAATGAAAAGTGATTAGAGATGAAGATAATCCAATAATTATTTACTCCACTATGTTATTCTCTCTCTTAAATAAATGTTCATAATAAAAATACATAATTTTAAAATCATTATAATTTTTAAATATTTAAATGATATATTAATTGACTTGTAAAATAACCATACAAACTTATGATTGAAAACTAAACTAATGTTTTAAAATTATGATTCATCAGATACTTTTAAATAACTAAATGATATTTTTATTGTTAATAATTGAGAGTTCAATAAAAATAGAAGGAATGGAGCATTTATTTACTATTAGTGGCAACCCATTTTTGCTTCATAAATAAATTAATTTACGTAACAAAAACTCTGCCCAAGAAACAAATATGAAGACCTTCTTCACTCTCCTATTTATTACTCATCCTCCTTTTCTATTATATTCTGCCATCTCCATCTCCATCTCCATCTCCATCTCACACTCACGACTCTCTTCTTCACATACACATCTCATACAATTCTCCTTATCCAATCATCAGAATCCATTTCTGTAACAAGGATCTTTTGGAAAGGAAAAGATATTGGGTGAAATGGTGTTTGGATGGCGAAGAGCTTTCTGTACATCAGTTCCTCCAGATGCAGATTCCGCCATTGAACCTGCTCGAGATGACCATGAGGATGATACCTATGCCAAGGGAAATGGTACTCCTAAATTTGGAAACAGATTCGGTTTCTTTACCTCTTCTACGCCTCGGCTTCAATCGCAGCAGCGGGATCCAAGTCCGAGTCTGCGTTGTCGAACCACCAGAGCCACCCTACCGGCGGAATCAGCTTCCGTTCCCGTAAGTCCAAAGCTTCAATGCAAAACTAGCAACAGCCCTAGGTTGTTCAACTGGTCATCCAATCCGTCGTCGCCTCGATCTCCTTCAACTTTCTCTCTCCTCAAATCCAACCTACGCCTCTCCACAGTAAGATTAGATTCCTTACCTTTTGAATTTTCCTTTTTATCATCATCGTAATCATCACAGTATTGAAGGAATCCAACTTATGTTTTTTTTTTTTTTTTGCAGACTAGATGTGGATTATGCTTGCAGAGCGTCAAGAGAGGGCGAGGGATAGCAATTTTCACGGCGGAGTGTTCTCACGGTTTTCACTTTCCGTGCATAGCCGGCCATGTAAAGAAGAAAGGGAGTCTATCTTGCCCTATTTGCGGTACCTTGTGGAAACAGATGCCACTGTTGTCTGTAAACGATCAGAAGCATCAATTTGCTGAAGAAGAAGAAGAAGAAGAAAGCACGAGGGAAAAGCTAGCCACGACACTAATCGGTGATGTTGTTGAGAAGAAGAAGAGTAAATTGAGGAAACAGCATTCATTTCGGCCAGATTTGAAAGTTTATGATGACGATGAACCATTAGCTTCCTTGACGCCGAAAGCTCGGTTTAATCCGATACCGGAATCTGATGAAAATTGCGACGAAGACTCTATAGGAGAGTTTCAAGGGTTCCATGTTGATGGATGCAGTAACAGTCCCGTTGACATTCATGCGAGAGATGTGGACGTACGGTTGTTGCCGGAGGCAGCGGTGGTCTCATCTGGCCGGAGTCACGAGACATACGCGATTGTTCTGAGAGCAAAAGCTCCGGTGATACCCGAGAAAACACAAGGCAGAGCTCCCATTGATTTGGTTACGGTCGTTGACGTCAGTGGAAAAATGTCAAGTGAGAAGCTGCAAATGATGAAACGAGCAATGAGATTAATCATTTCATCTCTTTCATCCTCCGATCGTCTATCAATCGTTGCCTTCTCTTCATATTCCAAGAGATTATTACCTTTGAAGAGGATGACGACCAGCGGCCAGCGAGCGGCGCGTCGTATAGTGGAGGCAATGGTGGTTCTCGAAGGTTCATCAAACTCAAGCGACGCCGTGAAGAAGGCGGCAAAGGTGCTAGAAGATCGCCGGCAGAAGAACACCGTCGCCTCCATCGTCCTCCTCTCCAACGTCGCCGACCAGCCGTCATGCTTTTCATCCACACGCTACTCTCAGTCTCACCTGGATGTCGCCGTTCATACACTGAAGCTCGCCGTGATTGACGACCACACCTTCGCGAAATCCATCGGAAGTTTACTGAACGTGGTGGTTCAGGATCTGCAGTTGCAGTTAGGGTTTGCCTCCGGCTCAGCTCCGGCGGAAATCACAGCGGTATATGCGTATTCACCCCGACCCGTAGCTCTCGGGTCGGGTACAGTCCGGATCGGAGAATTGATTGCAAACGAAGAGCGAGAATTGTTGATTGAATTGAAAGTTCCGTCGTCGGCGGTTGGGACCCAGAAAGTACTATCCGTGCGCTGCAGTTACAGGGAATCAGTAAGCCAGGAGGTTATTTATTGTAAAGAGCATGCACTGGTTGTACCACGCCCCCACACCGTAAGATCATCGGCCCTCACCATCCAAAGGCTGAGAAACCTCTTCGTCACAACTCGAGCATTAGCCGAGTCACGCCGGCTAACGGCGAGAAACGACCTGATCGGTGCGTACCACATGCTCATTTCAGCTCGTGCTCTAGTTCACCAAGCCAGCTTGGCTTCCACCAACGAGTTCATGATCTCTCTGGAAGCCGAGCTGAACGAGTTGCAACGGCGGCGTCAATCTGAAGCTGAAACTCAAACCGGTAGAGGGAGGGTTGAGATGGCGGCTTACATGGATGAGAAGGAGGAGCTGTTAACGCCAACATCGGCTTGGCGAGTGGCTGAGAAACTTGCTAAAGTCGCAATTATGAGAAAGTCGTTAAACAGAGTCAGCGACTTACACGGCTTTGAGGACGCCAGATTCTAATAAGAAATTTTACATTTCAAGTCCTTTTTAGTTTGAATGATTACATTTTACACCCTCGAAGAATTAGAAAGTTGTGAAAAATGGACGCATTAAATGAAGTGGTGGGACCTGATAACGACAAAAGATTGCCGACGGCTTGACCCTTTTATTCAGTAGAAAGAAACAAGAGATGGTATGAAAAGGGAGGGGGCTCTATATGTCTTTTTGTTCCAAAAAATAAATTAAAAAAATGGTGGTGAGAGGCAGAGGGGTAAAAAGGGAAAACCATCATGATGATGATGATTAATAGTATTTTTTGTTGTTTCTTTGTGTTATTTTTTTTTTTTAATTTATTTTGTATTTTAGGTACAAATTTGTCTTTTCAATTGTCATCTTTTGGGTCAGATGGAATGTGTACATGAATCTATAAAAATGGACACTCACCTTTTTCTTGTGGGTTGTTCCTAAATTCCAAAAATGTACTCCAACTTTGATTTATACGTATAAACACGTTGTATTATATAATAAAATGATAATTTGAGAGGATGCGAGAAGTTTTACGATCTTATGTAATTGTATGTGATATGAACATGTTATGTTGGCTTGTAGAGTAAACGACCCTTGATTGAGTAGATCAAGTCTTTTTGAACATGTTTTCCGCTGTGATTTTTACTTTAGTAATCTTGAATTTTAAATGTTATACATCAATAAACAGTATTTCATACATAGTAAATAGTTTTTAAAAGTTTTTATCAAATGCTTTATAATATAGTATTGATATATGTAGAATTTTTTTATGTATGAAAAAGAAAATCAAAGCATTAAGTAATGATGTTAAATAAGTATGAACATGATGGAGTGGAGTTCAATGTACCACACAAATTATCAATCCATTCCCAAATTCGATAATTCACTTTGCATTATCTTAAATCTTTTTTTAATAATTTCTTTTATGATATGATTATAGTTTTTTATTGGTTAACGGATTTTTTTTGTCCTTCTGTTTTACAGTTATATATATCCAAGCATTATATATACGTTTTGGTGGTATCATACAATAAGTTTGTTGTCATACTCGTTGGATAATCAATACTTTGCACAAAAATCCGATACAAACACTATTGCACAATTTAACATATAATAATTGTTTCATAACATATATATATATATATATATATAATACAAACCATATAAATGTTATATACTGTACAAATTTCGTTCCTTGATTTGTATATTTTAATTTTTTTAATAAGTTATCAAATTAGTTGCAGATAAAGTTGAAATATATTTCGGAACTGATTTAATCCATATTTTGAATTTTATTTGAAATGATATATATGTTCGTTTTCTTACTTCATAGAAATATCAAATTTTATATATCAATGCGTTAACAAAATCAAAATTAAAAGAATTTGTAATGTGATAAAATGAGTTCAATTATTATTAAAAAAAAAAGAAAAAAAAGTGTAGAATAAAAAAATAAAGAATCAATGATGGGGAGCAGCTTGTGACCCAGGTCAATGGTGGTATTTAGATTTTAATACAAAAACTCTTTTAGAATTTCTTTAAGTGGTGGGGACACTACAGAAGCTAATCAACGCATATAATCAAAATTTACTAAATATAAAACAATTATTATTATTCAATTTATAATTAAATGATCCTGATTTTCTTATTCTAAATTAAAAACCCATATTAATATATTGGTATATTTATGGTAATAACATCACGTAGAAAAGGAAAATTGAAATTGGATGTCGATCGTGGGGTTTCAAACGATGTGTGGTCGTATTCAGGTCGAGATTTTATTTCTTCGTTGATTTGTCAATTTAGTTCGTTAGAACAAATCAACAAAATTTATAATGTTACCGGTTCCGGTTGCTTATATTTTGATTTATCATTGATTATTAACTTTAAAACTCAGTTAAAAATGAATATAGTAAATAAGTAGATAATAATTGAGTACAAAAGGTTTAGCCAAGAAAACGCAGAAAAGTGTGCCTTTTGCAGAAATAAACCGATACCTTCCAGATTACGACACCATAAAGACATGCATCAACACATAAAAAACATTAATGTACCGTAAGGACATGTCACAACTTACGATACCGTAAAGAATAACGTCTTGCAGCATTAGATTACGTTTTCTTTTCTTAGCTATTTTGTAATAAAAAAAAAGGGTTTTGAAGTGGTTAAAAAAATAAGCCATATGGTTATTTAGGATAATTGCACAAAGAAAAAGGTAAAAAGGGAACCAAAAGGGCAAAATAAAAGTACGAGTAGGTTTCAGGTCCAAATCTAAACAGAAATAAAAATTCTTTTGTGGTCATAAAGATTTAAATGCGATGACTCCGGTCTATCTACAAAGCATGTGGTCACTTTGGGATTAGCTAGTTTGTATAGCAAGTTGGATATCCAGGTTAATAAAAAAAAAGTAAAAAGAGAAAATGAGGAGACAAGGTGAAAAGGTTAAAAAAAAAAGGGAGGTTTTCACACATTTGAAGGCATCCAGAAATTCCGCAAACTTTCCATCCAAAATCTTTCATCAAAACAGACCCTTTTTTTTCTCTCTTTTCAAGTTAATGATTTTATAAGTTTCAGCTGCTGAGTGCTGAGTGAATGACTTTTTGGATAATCCATTTTTGTGTTTTAAGATAAAGAAATTGCAAGGTTTTTGGTGGGGTGTAAAGAAGCCAAACTTACTTAAAACCATCATAATTTACAACACATCATAAAACAATCACTTTTATGTATTTTTTTTAATTGATTGATACTTTTGCTAAATAATTTATGATTTTGATAGGGAAAATTGCATTAAAATGGAACCAACTTTTACCTAATTCTTATTTTGGGGAACCAATTTTCAAAATCGTCATTTTGGGGAACCAACTTGCATCTGGTTCCTATTTTGGGGAACCAACTTTCAAAATCGTCATTTTGGGAAACCAACTTGCACTTGATTCCTATTTTGGGGAACCAACTTGCAAAAATAATTATAGAAAAATAACTAAAATTCGTTTTTTTTCAAAAATTAATGCAATAAAATCTATTTTTCATTTTAAATCTCGTTTTTTTAATTCAAATATCAAATTGAACATTTTTTAGAAAAAATCCAAATTACCACAATAAAAATTGTTTTTTACTAATGCAAAAAAAATCAAGTTAATAGAAAAAAATTAATTGATACTGATTGGTTAGATATAAAAATCTTGAATGTAATATTTAATATTTATTTTTTATTGCATTAATTAATTTTTTTCTATTAACTTGATTTTTTTGCATTAGTAAAAACAATTTTTATTGTGGTAATTTGAATTTTTTTTAAATGTTTAATTTGATATCCGAATTAAAAAAAAAAACGAGATTTGAAATGAAAAATAGATTTTATTGTATTAATTTTTGGAAAAAAACGAATTTTAGTTATTTTTCTATAATTATTTTGCAAATTGGTTCCCTAAAATAGAAATCAGATGCAAGTTGGTTTTCCAAAATGACAATTTTGAAAGTTGGTTCCCCAAAATAGGAATCAGGTGCAAGTTGGTTTCCCAAAATAGGAATTAGGTGCAAGTTGGTTCCCCAAAATGACGATTTTGAAAGTTGGTTCTCCAAAATAAAAATTAGGTGAAAGTTGGTTTCATTTTGGTGCAATTTTCCCTTGTTATAAATAAGATCTATATTTAAGGGTTGTTTATTAAATGATTATTGGGTAAATATTTACCGAGTGTTAGTTATCTTACCAAATAAGTATGACAATTACCGGGAATCTTACATGATAAATGAGAGAAAAGACTCTTACCTTATAAGTACTCACCGGGTAAAACATATTTATCAACAATTCATTTTAATGGCTGAGAATGTTACTTGATAAGGTAAGTGATGATGGTAACTCTTGTCTGACAATCACTTACCCAATAAGTATTTGATGAACAAGTCCTTTAATTTCGATTAAAAACTTAGATCCGTCATTATCTAATCATACCTTACTTTGGGTTCGTTTGATTTACTATCTAACTGTCAAGATCAGTCAGTTTTATTGTAAATGGGATATAAATGAATTATTTCGACATTATATAAATTTTATATAATAAATAAACAGTATAGGGAACGCTAAAGCTTTTGAAGTCCCATTTGAATATTGTGTCAACAATACGACAATGATAATATGATATTTGGTAAAAAGTTAGATTATCGACAACTCCGTATGGAACTCGTCTTCGAGGACATCAATTAATTTTTCCATCTCATAATTAAAGTCAGATACGTAGAAATAGAAAGTAGACATTTACAAGTAAGACACTTATTTTAGAAAGAACGGATTGTAAGGGGTTTATCAAACACTTACTATGTAAACACTTATTGGGTGTCACTTACCTTACCAAATAAGTATGATAAGAACCGATAATCATTTCAATAAGAGGCAGATTTAGGATCAAGAATCTTACATGATAAGTGAAAGAAAGTACTCTTACACACTTAGTGCTTGTCAGGTAAGAAACGTTTACCACCAAATCTGTTTTGATGGCCAAGAATTTTACCCGATATAGTAAGTGAGAAATGTGACTCTTGCTAGCAGGGGTGTAAGCAAGTCGAGCTTTTAACGAGCTCGAGCTTGAGTCGATCTCGAACACAAAATAAATCTCGTTTAACTTAACGAGTTGGGCTTCATAACACCAATGTTCGACTCGGCTAGTTCAAAAACTTGATTAAACTTTTCGAGTCGAGCTGAGCCAAGCCAATCAAGCAAAGATTTTTTTTCAAGCCAAACATGCTTATATGTTTACATACAATAAAAATACAAAAATTATCAACGTCGAATAAAACGAGTTAATCGATCATGAGTTCGAGCCCACAAACGAGCATACCTCGTGCTCGATAATTCAAAAATATTCGAGCTCGAGTTTGAGCCCTGGATTGAAAATGTTATTCGAGCTTGAGCCTTGTTTTTTTTCAAGCTCGACTCGAATAACCTACGACTCGACTCAAATCGACTCATTTACACCCCAACTTGCTAAAAAGCACTTATTCAATATGCATTTACCAAACTACATGTAAGTTATGAAAGTAAACTATGTTTTTCGTTCTTGTGGCTTATTGAAAATTGGTAGTTTACAACTCGTTGTTTCCATATCTCATAACTTAACATTAAACCACTAACAAAGTTAGCCTCAGTGACAAAAACAACAACAAATCGCAAACCACAAGAACGAAAACCGTAATTTCAAAAATACATGAACGTAAGTCGCAATTTTTAATAAGCCACATAGACAAAAAAAAATACTAGCTTACTCTACAAGTTAACCTTATGGGGTTACCTTAACTAACAATAAGGCTTAAACGTTTGAGGATCCTCCTCAGAGATCACCGGTTCGAGCCTGTGAAACAACCGAGAATTGCCTGTTTTTCAGGCTCCTGGGTTTAGTCGAGTTACTTGCAAATTGGCTCCGACATCGATGGTCAAAAAGAAGGCGAGGGACCCAAATGGAAAGAATTTCTATTTACATGCAAATTTATAACAAAAAGTACAGCCAACAGTTTTTACAATATCACATCCCCCAACACCACAAACCCCTAACTTCATTACAACACAAACACATAAACTTATATCAAAAGGAAAAGGGGGAAGACTTGGTACACCAAACGTACAACTCACAATGCACATATCAGATCTCAAAAGTACAACCGCCTGCATTGACCCACTTCCACCTCCGTTGGGCAGTACGGACATTTGAAAGGCCTCGTGCTGTTGTTTTTCGACAACTTTGTAATCGATTGTTTGCAAAGCACGTGACCACATGACATCAGCATCGGCGGGTTTTCTTCGCTTGCCTGATCACGGCTCACCGGGCACACGAATATGGAGTGAAACTGAAACTCCTGATCAATGTCGATCGGTACCGGTAACTGCTTCATCGACTGCCATTCGTTCTTCTTTCCGTTCATCACGTTCATTAGCTTCAAAAGGGTTGGTAAGCCTTGAACTCCAGCAGCTATGGTTACGCTTAACGGGCTTTGGTAGGATTCACCCAAGAGGTTGCAAAACTGTTGGGCCAGCTCATGGGCCAGCTTGGCCCAATGGGTTGGTGATAGAAGCTCAGAATACGGAGAGGATTCAAGCTTTCCGGCCCATAAAAGACACGCCATTAGCTTCTGGATTTCGGGGAGATGTTGGTTAGCGAAAGGGGAGAAATAAGCTCGGGCGTACTTGAGAGCTTCATCTCTACGGCCATGTTGAAGTATCTCCATGAATTGAAGACGGTGGAGTTTGAGTTCGATGTCGGATCCGTTTTGTCGGAGCTTCTCGTGGTTGGTGGTGGCCCACTTTAAAGCGGGACCCAAGTCTCGAGACTTCATGGACTCAAGTATTTGATACATCTCTAGGAAGTGAGTTTTCCGGTCCACAACAGATTCTTCGTGGGCTTCATTTACAAAGCAATCACCGATATCAAACATGCCTTCACGGTAAAAGTGACTGGCGATTATCTGGTTGATTGTGTGGAGGTCAAAGTCAACGTTTCTATACGATCTTGATATATCGGGATTGAAGTGTTTCTCGAGAAGCTTAATGTACTTGCTCAAAGCAAGATTTAGTTCCTTTTGTGTACCTTCTAGCTGACCAAGTGGAGCGATCTCCTTTAATTTTGCTTTCAGTTCGGTGAGGATTAAGTTGTGGTCGGGTTGCGGAAAAGTACTGTTGGTGGCTGATTGTATTCCTGATAACGCCTGCTCGATTTCTTGGCTCATTTGCTCGACCACCTCTTGGGATTTAGAGGATGACACCTTTTGCTTCTTTGTAACGCGATCAAATGCATCCTTGATGTTATTTAGATCCATAACCTAAATGCTTGCCACTCTTCCCTTTAGGAAATAATAAGTACCTAGAATAAAACAAAGGGTAAATACCATCTGATTACAAGAAATTGAAGTTAACAAGAGTATCATATATTTCATGAAACCAGACAACAAGACACTTTGAGATTTATAGGTTTGACCATTCTAGCCTTTTATCATTTTGTGATTAGTGAATATACACGAATACATTATTGTTCTTAAACAGGAGAAATTCATATGTGATTGACAAAAAGGTGAATGAAGGAAGACTCTATTAAACAAATGGAAACTTAGTTTACTTGCATATTAAGCAGTAATAAGTTGGAAACGGCCACATTGTTCAATTCAAATACACCAATTTCTACCCAAAATCAATCCCTGGAAGCAAGATTGACAAATGATTTCTAGCTTCAGCATGGATCACCATGACCGTGATAATCACACAGAAAAGGTGCAAGTCCGACCACCCCTCGCAAAAGGCAGCCATGTAAAACAAGGAGCAACAAATGAATACAACCAACTTAAATAGAAAAGCCGCGTTATGCAGCTAATTTCCATAAATCGGATTTCCTGAAAATTCCTAAAAACGGATAAATTTATGAACAATATATAATGCAGAAGAAGACCTATGATAGAGGTTTTTGGAGCAGTTGACGTTAGACATGGCGGTTTTTGGCATTTCGGAGAAAATGACCTTTGATAGAAGTTATCGAAGGCAGACTAGGGGTGGAGATCTGTAATTAACCTAGACAAGAGGAAGGGATATGGAGAGGTAGAGGGTGAGAGTGAGGGCGAGGGTGGGGGTAGGGTTAGTGAGCCAGCAGTTAGGCCTCGTTAGTCCTAGGTTAGACTAGGGGTGTGCAACTCCTCTATCCTTGGTTATGTTTTCTTGTGCGTGCTTATGTTTGTATGTTTTGTTTGTATTTCTGTTTGAACGTTGTTGCTTACTTCTAACTTGTTTTTCAAAATTTAGCGCCATCTTTCTCGTTCGAATGTTCTTATTTTCTATTTCCGCAATTTTTTGAGCAAGCTCTCTTTTTTTCACACACTTCGCACAAGTTAGGGGTCTTTACGGAAACAACCGTTCTACTCTTTGGGATAGAGGTTAAGTTTGTGTACATCTCACCCCCCAGACCCCACCTCCGCGTGGAATGGGCTTGTTTGGTTTGGTGTATTGTGAATTTGTGATGCCCTTCAGCCCTCCACAAAGCTGGAATCCTAGGATTATTAATTTCTAGCAAATTCAGATCCAGAAAAAGAAAAAATGATGATACTAAACTACTAATCCAGTAAACTGGAGATGCCACTCATTCTAGATTGCATGCATTGCTACTGAGGCAATTTCTGTTGGCCGCAAATTTACCATCTGATATGAACTTAAAGAACTAGAAGTAGGAGACCAATGTTTGGGTTCTAATAGCAGCCACCTTCCTTCAACTTTTGATGTAAACTTCAGTGATCAACTTGTGAGAAAGAAGATGGAAATCGCACATGAATCAACCAAACTGACCACCAAATCTATTGCCCACCACTCTATCCCACAATTTACTTCATAATCATATACTTATTTTCTAACCTTTAAACATATAGGCCTTTCTACTATGAGTATCAACAACCGAATATAATCCCAAAATAAAACTAATGTTAACCCCCAACAACTTCAGCTTGTCACCTTAGGTATGCAAGCTAGGGATCTCGGACTCGAAACCAAATGAATACCATTATTCCCTATTCTGGGTCACCCCCACCATCGGACGCCAGAAATTTTTCCTGAGTCATCTTGCAGAGGGTGCTGAATTTAACCCCATGGTTTCCTATCTTAAATAAAGTTAAAACTAACGTTAAGAGGAATGATCATTATAGTTTATGCACATCATTCAACAAAGTTCTATAAGGAATTTGATCTAGAGAGAGGAAACACTCCTGAAGTGTCCTGTTCTCTCTCTCTCTCCCATGGGAAAAGTAAAAGTTCCAAATTTAAGCCCGTATCCTCCTGCTGCCGGCAAGATGTTCATGGTCAGGAGAGATTCACTCCAAAAATTCCCGATTGCTTTCCTCTACAGCCACCTTCTCTTGGTAACCTAGCCATTATCAGCAGTCCTCGTTCAATTTAATCAGCTAAAAGCTGAAGGAACTATGGATCATCCGAGCCCCAATTGGGTTGCCTTCTCAGGTCTTACTGATGTTGCCTGTGGTCTGTGGGCCACTATCTCTATAGCTGAGTTCGAAAACTTGGTCATCCAAAACGTCTGGTAGCAGCAGCCAGCTGCGAATTTGAGACCGCAAAGAAGGTTAGATAGCACAGGAAAATAGGAACCATGTCGATGCTTGTGCTTACAGTCTATGCACTGATTCCCATAGCTGCCATTAACAGTATCAATCATTCAGTTTTGATCACCATAATTTCCTCCATTTGCTTCACCTTGTTTCTCCATGTTATTCATATGCAGTATCATCAGCCACCATGCAGTCAGCTTACAAATCCACCCTCATTTCCAGTGCATCTACCTCAACACTATAAAAACAACCGCTGCTACATTCTCAATCAAACAATCGTTTCACCGTGGGCTCCTTTTCATCAGCACTTCTTGTCCTAGATTTAAGAGACCGGTGGTACAGCAGTTAATGGTCATCAAGGTTGTGGTGTTATGGCAGCTTCTGTTTCAATTGGTGGCAGTGACAATAAATGTTCGTTTTTTCCTAAAATGTTAGGCAAGAGAATGGTGGTTCAACAACTAGGTTTTGGGCATGGTTATAAAGCTTCGACAGATAGGGTTCAATCAGCATTGGAGACAGTGGGTCTGGTGCCTTGGGATCTTGTTTTTTCCTGGATAATAGGCAAGGGAACAATAGTACACGGATAGGCTACAGAGATGACCATTCTTTTAGTGTTAGTTTTGTTTAAATGTTGGCATGGTCAGTATTGTTTTTAGTTGGTTTTGGCTCAACATGCATGTTTCATTATATATGTACCAATTCGTTGGTAACTTTTTGAGGGTAAGGTAGCAGATATGGTATTTTTTTTGTTCAGTTTATATATCCGTGTAGGTTGGGTAGTTCATAATGTACAGTATCTATCGGTTTTTGGTATTAATACATTTTTTATAATTTAAAAAAAAAGTGTTGTGCCCTAACCGTCGGGAACATGGTAATAACAACAATAGCTCCTCTTGGTGTAAAAAAGGTCTGCTAATGAACAAATTCAGGATTTACAAAAACATACAAACTATACAATTGTGCCTTTATGGAAGAAAGGAAAGACAAGTAGAATCATCAAAGAATCCAAATTATAGAACTCTGCAAGAGATAGTCATTCAGTGCAAAGAGATTAGATCAATTATGAGTCATGATCTTGAAATAAAAAATGTCATGTTCCAGAATCTGTTGTTCAAGTTAGTAGAACTTGTAGTTTCCTTAACGCGCTATCCCAGATTGGGTACCCGTTTCCCATAGATTAGATACTCTGGTCTCATACTTCTAGCATTATTGTTCAGTTTAAACGATAAATTGTTGCTTCTAAAAAAGTAAAGCCTACCATAGTAAAGTGTACTTTGTAAAATTCACTCCATTGGAACTACTAATAGAATGATGGCAATTTGAGAATAAATTTTTCTTGAGCTTCATCCCAGACTGGAGGGAGGAGGAAAGGTGTTTACCCGTTGTCCTCTCTCCTTCATAAGTATTATCTCTACATAACGATCCCTTGTTCAATGAGTAGAATGATGGCTACGACATAAGGTTAAGGCAGAACAGAGTGGAACTAACATGACCATTTGGTTCTTGTTACCATCTGAAGGCAAATGCAAAGCTCCAATAATAATCAGATGTAGCATACCATGATACCAAGGTAGATTTAACTCATTTCATAGATAGTTTCCATCCAATTAAGAACTGTAATGCGAACCCCGATGATTGAATACATATATTTCTTGAAACATAAGTAAATTTATGAAAAAACAGAGATGGCATCAACATAAAACATAACATATTTTGGAAACTACCAGGATACCAAAGATGTATCAACCAATAATTTATGTACTCATTATCATAGAGTAAACCAGTAAACACACTTGTGCGTGTGTATTATGTAATGATCTATTTGGCTGCCTGCATTTCCATTGTGAATTTATCCTTATTTGATAGCCAGAATATTTGATCCTATAAGCGTTTATTATATTGCATAATTGACAATTGATACGAGAAACTACAACTATGTGTTTAGTTTAGGAAATGTAGAAAAACCACAAAAATATGTGAAAACTAAGGATTTGAAGACAAACTGGAAGAAGAACGATTAGTCAAATAGTATAGCTTACGCTCAACAAGGTGTAGAATTATGATCCATCGCCTTTAGTATAGATAGCTAAGGATCAAGCATGAGCTTACCACCAGAACCAGCAAAACAGTGTAGCCTTGCACCTTAATGATAGGGAAGACAATGTTGACAAGAATGCACGCATAGGCTTACGCCAAAATAATTGCAAGAGAGAAATACATCTACATGTTGGCTGTTTTGGGGAACCTCCATTTTTTTAAAGGATAAAACATGAAAAAGGAAAAAGGCGACAAACCTAGGGTTTTAGGGACTACAAAAACATCAAGCTGAAGAGAAAAAAAAAAGAATTAGGTTTTTCTTAGTTTCTCTAACAACCAATCCTGAACTCGACCAAAGTAAAGGCTGCATGGCTGTGCAATATGGCCACCATTGAGAGCTCTGTGAGGATGAGCAACCAAGCTCCGAGAATACTTATGAGAGACAATGAAACCTTATGTGTATTGTTTCTATCTAGATACGTCATATTCATTTTCATCCTTAATCATTGATCAGTTCACTTAGACATCTCATGGAGATATATAGAGAGCATTGTAAGGACTTACACATGGTGATCATAGAACTAGGAAGGCATATGATAGCATGCCGGGGGACGTGATTTGGAGGAGTGTGGAGAAGAGGGGGCTACCTTCAAGGTATATCGGGGTGATTCAAGATAAGTACGGGTGTATGAGGACCTATGTCAAGAGCCTATGGGTGAGACGAAGTGTCTTCCAGTGAGATACGTTTCCCTGTGGATTAGCAGTAAGCTAATTCTTTTTTGCTGTGATTTTGGACGAGATTTCCTGAGGGATCAAGAAGAGTGTTCCATGGTGTATGTTATTCGTGGATGATATTGTGCCGGTAGTCAAGTCGAACGTAGAGGTATACGGAGTGTTGAAGCAGTGGAGGGTGGCATTGGAAACATACTGTTTGCACAGTAGCCGCTCCCAGTCCGAATATGTATGGTGCAATTTCAGTAAGGAATGTATTGATGAAGGAGTAAAAGTCAACATTGGGGCAAAGAGCACCCCAACAAAACAGATTTAAGTATCTAGACTCCAGGATTCATTAAAAGGGAGAAAGGAGAGGTCAAGGACGACATAACACATCACAGAAAAATGGGGCTAAAGTGGAGGGCCGCCAAAGGCTACCATGTGACAAGAAGGTTTTGTCAAAACCGAAAGGAAAATTCTACATAGCATCTATTAATACGAACTATGTCGTATGGGTCAAAGTAATGGGAGACAAGAAGGCCAAATGAGAAGAAGTTGGAAGTTGCATAAATAAGGATGCTTAATGGACTAGTGGTCAGACCATGTTGGACAAGATACCAAATGAGCAGGGGTGGCGCTAGGAATATAAGTTAGGGGGGTCCGGTTGTCCCTGATCGTATTTTGTTATAAAAATTTACAGCAATAAATATTGTTGCTATTTCCATTGATCCTTCAAAGCAATTTCGAACCTAGAAGTATTTTAAGCAGTGGTGTGATCTTTTTGTGGAAAATTTCGAGCATCATGTTTATCGAATATTCGACTCCTTCCGTCGATATAAATCTACATGCTTGAGCCTTGCCAACACACAGTCTAATTAGTTGTAATTTTATATTTTGTTTTATTATACCTTGATTTATTTGTTTTGCATAAAATTTGGATGCAATTATAGGGGGCTTTTACAAATTCTATTTCTAAACTACATTTGATGAATACAATTATCTATAAGTTATTTTTTTCATGAACTTGGGTGAGTAAACCGGCTAACCAACATTGGTACTTTACGCTCAAAATCTAGCTTTTGGGTATTAAAATGAAAAAAATAAAGACCAAAGGTGTAAAACTAGAAACTTTAATCAAATTAGAAGAACTTATTTTGTAGTGCAAACCTCGATGAGATGGAACAACGGATGGGACTATGGCTTCTAAATTGGATGGTAAATAAAAAAGTGTTAGTGTATAATAGAGGACAAACTTCATGCATAATGCTAGAGTTGGGGGAGACTCGTCACCAGTTACCCTCCCACTGGCTAATGAGGTATTTCGGGACGAGTTGAGAGTTATGACTATTATAGATAATTGTGAAAGGATCGTTTGCGGGTACATGTTTGTAGAAGACAGATGACAACTCCAGTGAGTAGGGTAGAATACGTAGCGGACGAGGGGGCAAGGAGGATGGGCAGGCTGAGGAGGATGTGGGATGAGCAATTGAGGAGGGATATGGTGACCTTAGACATTTTTAGGACATGACCTTTGATAAGAGTTTTGGAGACAGAATTAAGGTAATCGGATATGGTGGGGACACGTAGCTAGCGTAAGCGAAGAAAAGAGTTGGAGAGGTATTGGGTTGGAGGGGAGGAATAGTGAGCCATCAGATACGGTACAAGGGTCCTACGTTAGACTAGGAGGCTGGTAGCTTTTCAAACCTTCATTCTCTTTCTTGAGCATGCTTATGCTTCTATGTTGTGCTTAATATATTTTAGCTTTAGTGCTTCTATTGCACATAGTTTCTTTTGAACTCTCTTCTTTTTCCTTCTGTTTCAGGAACTTTGTCGCAACCTTCTTGAAAAAGGTGGTCTTTTTCTCACATACACTTCTTCATTCATGAAACAACCACTCTACTCTTTGAAGTAGAGGTCAGATCTACATATACATCTCACCTTTCCCATACCCCACCTCCAAGTGGGGTATATCAGGTTAGTTTGGTTATTGATCAGTTTACACTACCATGTAATTGCGATATTACTTGAGGTTTAATAATTTAATATTGGTTAATCATTCAACCGGTTTCTTGTGTTAATGTTTCCATAATCCATATAAATATAATAATCTATTTGTTATTTCCTTGTTCAATCATGACCCTATTCGAGTTTTAATTAATTTATGTTGGTCATGGATTTTAGCTAGTTTCCAATGTTAATGCTTCCAATAAGATAATCAATTTGTCATTTCCCTCTTTATGCGCAAAACAATAGTTTAGATATCAAGATAAATGAGTTGAAATCCCCATGACAAGAGATTCAACATCAAAACAAGAACCTTCGAGCATTTCCGAATCAATAGAAGTTTTTACTCGTGAGTCAAAAGGAGCTATTGCCTAGTGAAAATGGTAATTCATATTTCCGCCAGGGTCCTATGAAATAAGTTATTCCGAGGGTTGCATTAACTTTCCTTTAGTTGTTAGTTAACTCTCAGAAGAAATTTAGCTACTCGAATCCAAATTGCAGTTGATCTCCAGTAAAATGTAGAGACAAGAGAGTGAGGCTTGGTGTGGCTCTCCCGCATCACTCACCACCAATCAACCCCTCTTACCCCAAGAGAGTGAGGCTAATATAGATGAGAGAAAACAACAAGTGGATTCACATGTTCGAAATTAACCAACTTAAAAATGCCTCTACTCTCCGATGTATAGACATATATGAAATCTTGACCAACCAAATACGGTTTTGAAAGAGAAATATGGCTACCAGATGGTGTTGATCTGATTGTTTATGGGATTAGCATGCTAGTCTTGAATGATGTGATGTGATGTTGGTCAAAGTTTTTGGGATGAGATAATTTGAAAAGGATGACACCATATATGATAAAAAGCATAGAAATTCTCCTCTTTTCCCAGAAAGGACAAAGAAAAGCAATACTCCAGCCTTATTACTGCCAAGTACTAATGGTTAGATCATTGCATACACAAGGCCTCAAGGGACTTGGCATTAGATTCAACATCACCGGTGATTGCAACATGGAGAATTAGTTTATAGCAATGTTAACTTTTACAGAAGCAAACATTTTGACAAATTTATATCTGATATCAATTCTACATCATTCGCTAAATCCTATAATCCAAATTCATGTTATTGCATGCAAATATGAACAAGATGCTATATCGTGAAATGATCCTCCTTAAGATCATAGTTTTCCCAACAATGTCTACTGCATGGTGCTTGTTTAGTCAAACAACCAAGTAATGGAAAAATGTAGCAGACAAAGAAGTGACAATTGGAAACTTTAATGTTGATTATCTGCCAATATGGTTGTAAAGTTTAGTCATTTATTCTGTTTTTTAACCGTGCTTTCTATACCACAGTTCGTCCATGTCCATTCCTATGAGGAGCTACACTTTATTTTGATATTGAACTAGTAATTAGCACATACAAAATCAGTATTGTTCTGTGACCAAATTACCACAAAAAGTTCTGATCGTAATACATGTAACAATGTTTGTTCTAGTCATGAATTTTTCTTGGCCAGTTTAGAATCCCATGACTGTAAATTGAAATCTATGATTTTTGAAAGTCAAAATATAGCTCTTGTTATGAATTGATGGAGTATAAAATGCACCAATTTCTTGATAACACCCATTTCCACGAATTACATGGTAGCAGGAGATTTTAAAGCTTAATAACAGCAAAAAAGATTTTGCAACTCAAAAGTGATGCTAGATATGTTCCCAAAATAAAGCCACGTGTGACTCTTGAGTGATGATCTACTAACTTCAAAATCAACATCAATTATTTTCTGTCTAAGAGTTGATCAATACATCCAACAATACATATTAAATCGTATCACAGTCAACATATTCTAAAAAGCAAATTTTTATGCCAACATTGAACTCGAAAGCACCAGGTTACAATCTCCAAATCAGAAAGTGCTTTTTTTTTTTCAGGACGGAGGGGTTCATATCATACAAATTCACAACAAAATTTATCTTATTCACAAAAAACTTCGTCAAGTAGGAGACAATAACTTTAACGATATTCTCAATCACCGATGATAATCACTGGACGACTCTACACACAAGACACTCTAAATGCAAGTAAATTAACATCGCTATGCAACCACCGCTTACCGTTTCGGTCTATCCTATCGTTTTCGTTGAAGAAATTTACATAAGAATCCAGTCAAACCTTCTGATCTCTAATATGCTATCAACTTCTTCACAGATTCAACAGTAATTTCATCAAAAAAAATGAAAACAAAGATCACGAACCTCCAGATCGAGACATAACAGGGATTAATCATGCTAAAATTTTCAAACAATCATCATACTTACGTAGATATATGTACGAAATTTACATAAAAAAAAGAACACACGCATAGATACGAAGGAGCTTAGTATCTTACCAGGGGCAAGAGGAAGGGCGAACCAGGGGATTTGTGTGTAAAATTGGGGAAATTTGATAACTGAACGCTTTATGATGGCAGAGATTTTTATGAAATTGGCTGGATAGGGCTTGAACTTTTATTTTTATTTTTATTTTTATTTTTAAAATTATATCCTGATTTTTTATTGCATTAATTTTTTAGGTTTGTTTTTTGCAAGGCAATCATGGAGCCGAAGGGTTCAGTAAATGTATGACAAAGTGAGAGGCCCCTATTCGCGGCCCTCTAACCGCCTAACATAATAATAACGTGCAAAGTTCACTTCTATTACTTAATCTATACAATATCTATACTATATTAATTTAGCTAAAACTCTTAAAAACTCTTAAAACTCTTAAACTCGTTTATCCCTAAACAATTTCATCCCTATCCGATTTCATCCCATAACTGAATTCGTGTAACTAACTGCAGATAAACACAATCAAATAC